TTGCTGACTTTCTTCCACCGAAGCGAGTAAGCCTAACAATCTCTTCCTTCATCATTTACACCTCTCGCCGGTGATTTTGTTCGACTAAAGCTCTTTCTTTGTTCTTCATCCTTGTTCTCGCCCTAGTGTGGTGAATGCACGAAGGAAGTGTAGTTTTGGAAGATCGATCTATATTTCGTTCAAGCAAAAGACAACAAATACTAGATAAAAATAATAGGTTAAAGAAAAAAATAAAATGACACTCGAGACTCGGATATGCAATAGCCATCTATGGGGGATGACAAAAGAACTCGATCGTTGATTCTTCAATCCTCTTAAGTTTAAGGATGAATTCGGATTCATCGGTAGCTTTTTAGGATTACAAAAATGGAACATGTCTTGATAGATGGTGGCATTGATTGCTTGGCCCTTTCAAGTTTAAAGATGAATTCGGATTCATCGGTAACTTTTAGGAATTTCGAAAAGAGGACTCGCTTCAACAAGTGGCAACGCCGATCGTTAGTTAGATTCAAATCCTAATGACATCTAACAAATCTTTCCCTTCGATTGTGGTGCCATTTTGTTTTGAAGAATGACAATAAGTAACTTGATGGCCTTGGTGCCGGTAAAAGTCAACCCTCAAAGTCACTTCTTATTTAAAGCCATCATATTATCTTAACCGAAATTGTGAGGCTCGGAGTTTCCATTACAAATGAGTTATCGTAAATTTAAAGAAAGATGTCAACACTTTTATTATTCAAAATGAGGAGTATGAGGGCTCCTATTAGTTCATAAGACATCTTTCTTTTACATAATGAATGGAAGAAAACTCATACAATAAGAAATGAAATAAAATAAGAAAAGCGATTCAATCGATAGTTCGCTCATAGTCCAAAGACCTTTCCTCTTCTAGCGATTTCAAACGACAAATAGTCACATCTCCTTATGTATTCGGCCACTCGCTTCATTATGATTTTTCACCCTATGCTCATTGATGGCTAAATGTAGCTCTTGAAGTGCTATAGCTTCCTTGGAGACTTCCTTTCCTTGATCGTCTAGCACAACTAAGCTTTTGCCTCATTCGAGTATCGACCCGAGCTAAGTGGTTGTGTATGGTAGCCTAATACGAGGACAACCTAATTAACTCTTTCTCCGGATGTCGATTCTCCTTTTTGAGTGTTGTGATCCGACTTTGTGCCTCTCCTACTTGCTCCAATGGAACCTATCGATGGCTACATTTAGTGTATAGAGACGAGTTGCCACTTCTCATGACCTTCTCTAACCCTCGATATTTCGACCCCAAATTTCTCAACTCCTCGCTCTACTCACCTATCTTGTCATTGTAACCTATCCATCTCGGCATATTTGGCCTCTAGTTTTGCTTGAGCCTAATGATAGTTTGATTTCTAGTATTCCTCTTCGACGGCTATACTTTGCCAAGCCTCTAGATCTTACTCCAAGTCTAGTATCTTTTCTTTATCTTTCCCTCTCATCTTTTTTTCCTTAGCCGGATCACATGCTAGTTTCGATTCTCATCCTCGATCCTCTCGATTTCTTTGGTGAGGTCCCGATGGTTAGTAGGGACTAATTTTATGAAGTCCTCCATTCTCATTTTCTTCCCTTTAGACTAGCTAGGCACAACACTCGGATCTTATGGTGTTACCAGCTCATTCCCCTCGATAGGCTGGTTTGGACATCCATTTCCCACGACTTGGTCGAGTCGGCTAATTGTTTGTAGTCTTTCACCCTATTTGGTTGCCATGTGGGGTATCTAATTCATGATCAACTGTTCCTCCTCCCACTACTCTCGGAGTTAACCAATCCTATAGAACCCGTTCGAGGAACTCGGGAGTGGCATCTTTCTTAAGTTTTCCTTCAATCCCATTTAGGTCCATGGTTCTAGGGATAGCCTGTTTATAGCCTAATTGCCTCAATACCATAGAGGGAGCATAACAAGTATACCCGAGTTGCTCCTATTAGAGGAACCCAAGGTCATGCTCCATAGTAAGCTATGTATGCCCTTCGATTAATCCAAACCATCTTCCACGGAAAGGCCTCGATCGACAAGCTAAAAAATGATGAAAACCACTCTCGTTCAAACTTGATTTTCCATTTGTCGCCCAAGAACTCTTTCAATGGTTCTTGATCGGTCCACCAACGATGTCTTGAAAACCAATTTATAGGTTTCGAAATGGTTAATTACCCATACAAAAAACACCCGAACACAACATTTCATACTCCCTTTCCCAAACCTCCTACAGTGACTCAATGAGGAGAAGGTTTCGACTAGAATGGCAGCGATATGATTTATGGAGTGTTTCTCCACCTTGATGAAGACGTTGGTCGCATCTAAGCCGATTAAACCAGCTATTGAGGGAAAAAGCACCAACCCGGAGATCATAAGTGCTAGAATCTTGAGCCGTTTCGAGGTAGCTCTTGGGTCCTTCGGCTTTTATTTGAACACATCCAACCGACTCTCAATGTGCCATTCATCGACATTCCCTCTAGCTTTACCATGAATCATGCTTATGTCTAGCCAATCCTCTACCTTTTTCTTAATATTTGATCTTCTTGATATAGATATACTCGATGTAACATGTTCGACATGTTTAGAAGTTGATGATACTCCTCCAAGGTTGGGGTCACGTCTAGTCCCCCTATAGTGAAACATTTATATGAAGGGTCCCATAGATGGGCCAAGGCCTCGAGAGCGGGCTTCGAACCGCATCTCTAGTAACACTCGTGAGATTCCTATAGTTAGCTTGAAACTTGTACTAGTCATTAGGGCTCGACATCTTCCAACAATCAAGCGGCTTTTGCGTGTCATTGATCACTAACTAGAAGTGTGTGATCTCCTTATGGTTCCTCCGAAATTCCGAGTCCTAGGCAATCTCCCTCTCGTTTTTTGCAAAGCCTTAGAAGTTTTTTTGAATTCGGCCACTAAGTGAGTTTGGATCCGAGTTCTTTTGTCACCCATCCTAAAACAACACGACCAGATTGCTTGGTCAAGGTTGCGACATATTTGGCTTACCTAGTGAATTTATACGGGAAATGTGGTCCTAGGGTCCGGTTCTAGCCATTACATGATTGGGTAGGATTTATCTAAGTCTCAAAGGGTCCCTTTTGGCTTGGCAAAACCGAGGCCGACCAAGTGCGAAGCTAGTAATCATGGAGACCATTGAATACCTATCGTGACATTGGCGGCTTTCCAAAAGAGTTGAGGTTTCGTGAGTGTTACCTAGGGCAAAACCCATCGGGGCACCGAGTAATTCCTCCTTAGATCCTAAGGCAAATGCAAATGTCATAAAGATATGCAATGTGGTGTGTGCATAGGCATTATTCCATATCCAGATCACCATTAAAAATAAAAATACAATAAGGATACAAACGGAAAAAGAAACATAAAAATAAAAAAAAAGGCGAGAAAAAGGAAAAGATGAGTAGGAATCAAGAAAAATGATCAAATAATTAGATATATAAATAAAATAAGATGAAAAATTCAAGGCGAACAACAAAACAAAAGGCAAGAATTTAAACACAATAGGCAAATTACGTAAATAGGCTAATTAGGCAAAAGAGAAGAGGCCACATAATCGAAATCAAACTCAAAATTGCATGTAAAGCCTAACCTTAAGTATGTCCCCGAGTGGAGTCGCCATTCGTCGCAGGGCGATGTCGGTCGATGAGATAAAATGTAGGGCGGATGATCGGAGTCCCCATCTAGTATTATGGTTATTAGGAAATCTCATGACTGGTCTATTTAGAGTTTCATGTGAGGGGTTTATTATGTGTAAGGAAGATCAAAAGTCACCCTATCCCGTCTTGTTTAAGGCAAGCTATATCATATATAACATTGGTTCAATTTCTATTTTTTTATGAAAATGCCCCTAGTCGAGTGATTCGGGACTCGGTCGGTCGGAGATCTCATCCTCACTCTATAATGGATGGCTAGAAATGATGGAAAAACAAATAAAATAAAATAAAACAAGTAAAAGTTGACAACTTAAGTAAAAACGAGGCAAAAATCGATAACTTAAGCAAAAATAGGCAAAAATCGGCAACCTAGGCAAAAAGAGGCTAAAATTGGCAACTTATGCAAAAACAAGCAAAAATTGACAATTTAGATAAAAAAAAAAGGCAAAAATGGCAACTTAGGCAAAAACTAGCAAAAATCGACAAATTGGGCGGAAATAGGCAAGAATAGGCTAAAATCGACAACTTAGGAAAAAACAAGCAAAAATCGACAACTTAGGCAAAAATATGCGAAATCGACAACCTAGACAAAAAGAGGTAAAAATAAGCAACGAAAAACGAAAGCCACGGCTTTGGCTAAAATCGACAACGAAAAACGAAAGCTACGACTTTAGGCAAAATTGGCAACGAAAAATGAAAAGTGATGGCTTTGGCTAAAATATGCTAAAATTGGCAAACGAAACGAGCACACCTAGGAACAAATTAATGAGAACTGACAATAGGACCAGAATCGAAGAAGATACACAAATTGATGAAATTAATTACTTTAGCATGCTTAATAAAAATGGAGTTACATGGCAACATTTCAAACTTGCTTGGTTCGACATGCATGTTTTTTTATAAAATCACCATAAGAGACACTCCCTTAAAATATACATGTCGAACAACAAATATTCAAACGCTCAAACCGATGCATCATACCATAAAATCAACAATGCACATTATCGTAATTCTAACAAATTACACATAAACAAACGAGATGAAATTAATTATATCACATTCACTCAATTAATTACATGACACATATCAACATCAAGAAAATTTAATACATGTTAAAAATAAAAATAAAATAAAGCAAAAAGTAGAAAAACATTACTCTAAAGAAGAAAAAGAGGCAAGCTGATTTGCTTGATGACTCGAGGTTAGGTTTGATCATTTCGACCCCGATGGAGACTAATACTTAGTGAACCAGGGAAGAAAGGTGTTTGTTGGCAAAGCATGGGAAGGCTCGTCGTGGGTAATGGCCGTCGCTAGAGCTGGCGTTGGCTCTAAGCATGCTTGCTAGTGTCTTGCCTGGCGCTAGCATGCTTGTTGGCATGCTCGTCGGCGTGCTTCGCTAACGCCGATGCCGACACACTACTCGTTGTTGTTGGGGCGAAGCACCGGCGATAGGCCGGTGTATGGGCCGGCACTACACGTCCGACATGGGGGCTACCGGCTTGTGGAGGTGCAACAAGCCTCGTATGAGTGCTAGTGGGAGAAGTCGATGGGGATGGTGGCATGGAAGGAGAGTTGTTGTGGAAGGGGTGGTTGCTAGCGTGGGGAGATGGCTATGTGCATGAGGTGGCTGCCGGTGTCGATGCAAGAGGGTCGGCGACTACGGTTCCTTTTTGCGGGGTGAACGATAGGCGATGTTTTTGGAGGAGAAAAGAGGGCTTTTCTACTAGCTTTTTAGGGTTTTTTTGGCAAAAATCTATTTTAGTCCCTCATTTTAAAAACCAACTTTATTTTACTTCTCTTCTCTTCTCTTCTTCAATTGCACCCCTATATATATTTTTTTACTTCTTTTTTCTTCTCTTTTTTGACCCAAATTTGGGTGTTAACAAGGGAGAGAGAGGGGAAGAGAAAGGAAAGAGAGGAAAAGAGAGTAGGGAGAGAGAGAGAGAGAGAGAAAGAGCGAGGGAGAGAGAGAAAGAGAGGGGGAGAGAGAGGGAGAGGGGGAGAAAGAGGGAGGGCTGGAGAGAGAGACTGTGAGAGGGGGAGAGAGTGGGCCGGAGAGGGGGAGAGAGAGGAGTAGAGGAAAGAGAAGGAGAGAGAGTAAAGGGGATAGAGGGAGAGGGGAAGAGATAGAGGTCAAGAGGTTAGGGGTAAGAGAGGGAGGGGTGAAAGAGTGGCGGACGGAGAGAGCGGGGAGTGAGAAAGAGGTTGAGAGAGGGAGAGAGAGACAAGGATAGAGAGGGAATGGGAGGGAGGGAAGGAAAGCTAGAAAAAGAGGGAAAGAGAAGAGAGAGAGAGAGGGAGAGTCTATAGAATAATCGAGTGACGGGGAAGAGGCAAAGAGATAGGAGGAGAGAGGGAGAGAGAACATGAGGGGGAGAGAGAAAGAGAGAGGAAGAAAAGAGGGAGAGAGGGGAAGGTAGAGAGAGGAAGATAGAGGGGAGAGAGAGGAAGAGAGAGGGAGAGAGGGGGAGAGAGTGGGAGAGAGAGGAAGAGGGGCGAGATGTTAAGAGGCCGGGAAAGAGAGAAAGAGAGAAGGGAGAGAGAGGGGGAGGAAGTGAGAGGTTAGGAGAGTGGGAAAGAGAGAAGGAGAGAAAGGGAGAGAGAGAGGGAGAGAGACGGAAGGTGAGAGAAGGAGAGAGAGTGATGGATAGAGGGAGAGAGATTAAGGGTATGAAAGGGAAGGAGAGAGAGTGGGATACAAAAAGAGCGAGAGTAAGGGAGAGAGAGATAAGAAGCGAGAGGAAAGGTGGAAGAGAGAGATAGAAGAGAGGATAGAAGAGAGAGAGAGAGAGAGGGAGGGAAAGATGGAAAAAATGGAAAATAAAAGGGAAAGAGAGGGAGAGTATGGAGAATAGTAAGAGAGAGAAAAGAGAGAGGGAGAGAGAGAAAGAGAGAGGGTGGAATAGAGAAAGAGAGAGGGAGGAAGAGGGAGAGGGAGAGAGTGAGAGGGAAGAAGAGAGAAGGGAGAGAGAGAGAGAGGGAGAGTATGAGTGAAAGAGAGGGGGAGAGAGTGGGAGAGAGAGGGAAGGGGAATGAGAGTGGTAGAGAGAAGGTTAGAGTGGGAGAGAGGGAAAGAGAAAAAAGAGTAAGAAAGTGAGAGAGGCGAGAAAGAGGGAGGAAGAGAGAGAAAGAGAAAAATTAGAGTAAGAGAGAGAGTGGAGGGAGAGAGAGAGAGGAAGAGAAAGTGAGAGGGAGAGAGGGAGGGAGAGGGAAGGGGAGGGAGAGAGGGATAGAGGGAGAAGGATAGAGCTCGAGGGAGGGAGAGAGAGAGAGAGAGAGAGTAGGAGAAAGGGAGAGAGAAATAGAAAGGGAGGTAGAGAGGAGGGAGAGAGAGAGAGGTAAAGAGGGAGAGAAAGTGAGAGGGAGAGAGGGGGAAAGAGGGAGGGGAAGGGAGGGGGAAGGGAGTGAGGGAAAGAGAAGAGAGAGAAGGAGAGAGAGGGTGTCCGAGAGAGGGAGACATAAAGAGGGAGAGAGAGTGAGAGGGAGGGAGAGAGAAAGAGAGAGGGGAAGAGAGAGGGAGATAGGGAAAGGGAGGGAGAGGAAGAAAGAGCTAGAGATATAGAGAGCATAAGAGAGATTAAAAGAGAGATAGAGAAAGAGAGAGAGAGGGTGGGAGAGAGACAAAGAGAGGGAAAGAGAGAGAGGGAAATAGAGGGATGGAGAGAGAGGGAGGGAGAGAAGAGGAGATGGAACGTGAGAGAGAAATATAAAGGAGAGAGTAGGGGAGAGAGGGAGAGGGAGAGGGAGGGAGAGATGGAGAGAGCAAAAGAGAGAAATAAAGGGAGAGGGGGAAAAGTGAGAGAGTGAGAGAGGAAGAGAAGGGGAGAGAGAGGGAGATGAGCAAGTGATAAAGAGAGATAGAGGAGAGAGACGATCGGAGAGGGGGAGAGGGAGGGAGGGAGAAGGGGAGGGAGAGGTAGATTGGAAGAGATAGAGGAGGGAGGAGGGAGAGAGTGGGAGAGAGGGAAAGGGAAGGAGAGGGAGAGAGAAAAAGAGAGTGTGAGAGACGAAGAGAGAGAAAAGTAGAAAGGAAAAGAGAGTATGGGTGAGGGACTATGAGAGAGAAGGAGAAAGAATGAGAGATAAAAAAAGAGAGAAGGGAGAGAGAGAAAAGGATAGAGAGAAGAGAGAGAAGAAGAGAGGGAGGGAGGGAAAGGAGGAGAGAGGGTGGGAGAAGGAGTGAGAGAGTGGGAGGGAGGGAGAGAAAAGGAGAGAGGGAGAGAAGGAGCGACGAGGGGAGAGAGGAAGGGACGGAGGGGGAGAGAGGAAGAGTGAGAGGGAGACGAGAGGATGTGAGATAGAGAGAGTAAGAGAGAGGGAAAGGAAGAAGAGGGAGAGAGGGAAAGGGAGAGATAGAGGGGGTAAGAGTAGGAGGGGAGAGAGTGAGAGTGACAAAGGGGGAGAGAAAGGGGAGGGAAAGAAGGAGGAAGGAGAGAGAAAGAGAGAGGGGATAGAGAGGGAGAGAGGGAGAGGGAGAGGAAGAGAGAGAGGGAGAAGGATATATAAAGAGAGGAAAAGAGTGGGAGAGTGAGAAAGGGAGAGAGAGAGGTAGAGAGAGAGACAGAGAGTGAGGGGGAGAGAGTAAAAGAAAGAAAGACGGGGAGGGAGAGAAGAGGAGAGTGAGGGAGAGATAGAGGGAGTGGGAGGGAGGGAGAGAGGGAGAGGATGAGGGAGAGAGTAAAAGAGAGGGGGAGAGGGAGGGAGGGAGAGGGAGAGAGATAGAGGAGCGAGAGATAGAGCGAGGGAGAGAGTAGGAGTGAGAGAGAGATAGATAGAGGTAGATAGAGGGAGAGAGTAAGAGTGAGAGAGAGAGAGAGAGAGGGTGAGTGAGAGAGGAGGAGAGAGGGTGAGGGTGAGTGAAAAAATGGAGAAAGGGAGAGAGAGAGGGAGAGAGTGGGAGGGAGAGAGGAGGGAGGAAGAAACGAAGAGTGGGGGAAGGAGAGATAGAGAGAGGGAGAGAGAGACGATAGATGTAGAGAGGGGAGAGAGTGGGAGGGAGAGAGAAGGAGGGAGGGAGAAACGAAGAGTGGGGGCGGGAGAGATAGAGAGAGGGAGAGAGAGACGATAGATGTAGAGAGGGAGGGAGGGAGAAACAAAGAATGGGGGCAGGGAGAGATAGAGAGAGGGAGAGAGAGACGATAGATGTAGAGAGGGAGAGAGAGAGAGGGATAGAGAGAGTGGGAGGGAGATAGATAATAAGAGGGGGATAGAGAGAGGAAAGAGATAATGAGACGGACGAAGAGAGCGAGAGAGAGAGATAGAGAGAGGGAGATAGAGGTAGAGAGATAGAGGGAGAGAGAATGAGGGAGAGTGAAATAGATAGAGAAAGAGAGAATGAGAGATAGAGGGAGTACGAAAGAGAGGGAAAGTGAGAGAGAGACGAGAGGGCTAGAGAGTGGCGGATGGGGAGAAAAGAAAGGAAAAGGATAGAGGGGAGAGGGAGAGTGAGGAAGAGAGAGGGGGAGGGAGAGAGAGGAAGAGAGAAAGGGATAGAGGGAGGGAGAGGGAGATAGAGTGTGTGAGAGAGAGGTAGAGAGTTGGAGGGAGTGAAAGAGTTATAGAAGGAGAGAGATGGAGAGGGGGAAAGAGAGGGAAAGAGGGAGTGAGAGAGGTAAAGGGACAAAGAGGGAGAGAGAGGGAGAGAGGGAAAGTGGTAGAGAGAAAAAAAGGGAGAGGGTGAGAATGGGAAAGAGGGAGAAAGAGAGATGGAGAGAAGGAGATAGGGTGAGAAAGGTAGAAAGGGTGTGAAAGGGAGAGAGAGGGAGAGAGAGGCAGAGAGAAAGGTAGAGAGGAAGAGAGAAAAGAGAGAGAAAGAGAGAGATAAGAGTGGGAGAGAGAGAGGGAGGGAGCGAGAGAGAGGGAAAGAGAGAGGGAGGGAGCAAGAGAGAGAGAGGGAAGAGGAGTGAGGGAGAGAAAAAGAAAGGGAGAGGGAGAAGGATAGAGAGAGAGAAGGGAGGGAGAGGAGATAGGAAGTAAACGGGAGAGAGGGGGAGAGCAAGAGGTAGAGGGAGATATTAAGAGAGAGGGAGAGGGGGAGAGAGAGAGGAGGGAGGGAGAGAGTGGAAGAAGCAAAAAGGGGAGAGAAAAAGAAAAGGAGAGAAAGAGAGAGAGTCATAAAGAGTGGGAGAGGGAGAGAGAGGGAGAAAAGAGAGAGGAAGAGAGAAAAGGGGAGAGGAAGAGAGAGGGAGAGAGAGAGATAGCATGAGAGAAGGAGAGAGAAGGGCGAGAGAGAGGGTGAGGGTAAGGGTGAGGGAGGGAGTGAAAGGGAGTGAGTGAGAGAGAGGGAGAGAGGGAGAGAGAGGGAGGGGGAGAGAGAGGGAGAGAAATAAAGAGAAAGAGGGAGTGAGAGAGAGGGAGAGGGAGAGAGAGGGGGAGAGAAAATAAAGGGGAAAGGGAGTTAAAAAGAGAAGGAGAGAGAGATAGAAAAGGACAATAGATAGGAAATGAGGAGGGAGAGAGGTGGAGAGATGGGAAGTACGAGGGGGAGAAAGAGGGAGAGAGAGGGAGAGGGAGAGAGTTAGAGAGAAGAACGGGGGTAGAGAGGGAGGTAGAGTGAGAGAGATTGAGGGAGTGGGTGGGAGAGAGGGAAAGAAAAAGAAAAAGAGAGAGA